AAAAAAAACACACACAAATTGTACCTCTATTGTGGTTATAACTTTAAAAGTGTATATTTTGTTGTTGTTAGTTGCCACTGAGTCGAATCTGACTCATGGCAGCCCTGTGTGTGTAGAGTAGAACTGCTCCATAGGGCTTTCAGGGCTGTGACCTTTCAGAAGCAGATTGCCAGGCCTGTCTTCCGAGGTACCTCTGGGTGGGTTTGAGCTTCTAACCTTTTGGTTAGTAGTTGAGTGCTTACCGTTTGTGCCACCGAGCTACTCCTTGCACCGTTCATTCCAGACATAGCAATTATGAATAAAACGTACTAAGGGAGAACAAAACAAAATAACAGAATCCAAAAAGAAGAGTATTATCTCTGGAACAGAGACTCAGAGTGGCGAGTAGATACTGACTGTACAGTCTTGTTGGACTCAGAGTTGTAAGGTGGGCAGTAGAATTAGGCTTGTGTGGTAAACAAATGTTTGCCACTTAATGAGGGACCAGGAGCTTGGTTCACTGCTTGAAGCTATAGGTAGGGAAAAGAGAAGGCCTTTGGCCTGCTGCCTGTGGCTAAAGCTTTCTTGAAGTTGGGGGCGGGCTTAGGGGCACAAAGGACAGAGACATTGTCCTGATCAGGAATCAGAGGATGAATACATTGGCTGTGTCCCCAAAATTCATATATGGAAGTAATTAAAGACTACCTTTATAGGACTGATTCTAGATTGGGGTCTTGGAGAGTTTGCAAAAGATAATCTAAAAACTGCTAGGTAAGAGGATGGGTGAGCATAAAGGGTAAAGCATAACACAATACATTGTATTCTGTGGAGCTGTTTCAGAGTACTGATGGAGGGGGTGGAGATAAACAAAACTCAATTTGGAGTGAGCAAACAGCCAAAATTCTATAGTATATCTAAGAAATCTAATATTAAGGCAACCAATAAATTTAACAGTTGGAATGAGAATTGTCTTAGTTTTCTAGTGCCGCTATAACAGAAATGTTGATGGCTTTATAACAGAAATTTATTTTCTCACAGTTTAGGAGGCTAGAAGTCCGAATTTAGGGCTCTGGCTTTAGGGGTAGGCCTTCTCTCTGTGTAGGCTCTGGAGGAAAGTCCTTGTCTCTTCAGACGTCTTTTTCCTGGTTCCTTGGGGATCTCCATTTTGCTTCCCCCATTTCTGCTCGCTTAATCTCCTCCTTTTATATTTTGTAAGAGATTGACTGAAGACATACTCTACACTAATCCTGCCTCATTAACACAACAAGGCAACTCATTCCCAAATGGGGTTATAACCATAGGCGTAGAGTTTAGGATTTACAACACATATTTTTGGGGGACACAGTTCAGTCCATAAAAAGAATTCGCTCCAGATGAAATTTAAATTTTTAGAACAGATGAACAAAATCATTTATGTGTTTTGAGGAATTCCAAAGAGATAAGTGAATAGAACACTTGTATTAAAGAAGATTAAGAAGTTAAAAGCAGCATAATAAAATAAGATCTCATTGATAGGAAAAATAGCTAATTAGAAAACCTAAAAGTGAAAAAATATAGTTATTGAAGTTTAAAAAAAAAAAAACAGCAGTAGAAAAGACAAACTTCAGACTTGATATAGTCAAAGAGTAAATCTGAAGGAATTCACCCAGAATATAGAACAGAGATCCAAAGGTTGCCAACATCCAATCTAATATGAGTTTCAGAAGGAAAAAAATTGAGAGAATGGTGGGCAAGTCATATTTAAAGAGTTAACATCTCAGAATTTTCCAGAATTGAAGAAATTAAAGAATCCTCAGATTGAAAGTATATCTTAGTCGTTAAGCAGGTTAAATATAAATAAATTCAGACCTAGACACCAGGAAAAAGAGAATATTAAAAGCTACCAGGTACCTCTTTTTTTCTTCACATTTCTGAAATCAGAGTGCATCTTCTGTTGATGCTATCCTATAATCATTGTTGGTCAGTGGCATTTTTAGTATAGTTGTCACTGCCTGTGTGAACTTGGCTGTTATTTTTGGTGGCGTGGTTGGAGAACTGCAGCCCTTTGATGTTTCAGTTAACAGAACGTTTAAGAATCATTTGAGGAAGGAGTAAGAGTTCTGATTGTGGTCTGAAAACATATTATGACACCGTTTGGTAAGATCAAGAAAGCGTATGTATTAGTGCTTGGAATAAAATCTGAAGGTAATAGTGGAACAGTGTATTAAAAAAATGCTGTATCAGTGATACCCTTTTTTTTTAAATTGTGCGTTAGGTGAAGGTTTACAGAACAAATTAGTTTCCCATTCAGTAGTTTATACACAAATTGTTTCATGACATAGTTTGCACTCCCTGCAATGTGTCAACACTCTCCCTGTCACCATCCTTAGTTTTCCATTTCCATTCGTCTGGTTTTCCTGCCCCTTCCTGCCTTCTC